AGCTCACTGCAACCTCCGCCTCCCGGGTTCAAGTGATTCTCCTGCCTCAGCCTCCTGAACAGCTGGGATTACAGGCGCCCACCACCACGCCTGGCTAATTTTTGTATTTTTAATAAAGATGGGGTTTCATCATATTAGCCAGGCTGGTCTTGAACTCCTGACCTCAGGTGATCCACCCGCCTCATTCTCCCAAAGTGCTGAGTGAGATTACAGGTATAAGCCACCATGCCTGGCCTTTTTTTTGAGAGAGAGTCTTGCTCTGTTGCCCGGGCTGGGCTGGAGTGCAGTGGCATGATCACGACTCACTGCAACCTCCACCACCAGGGCTCAAGCCATCCTTTTGCCTCAGCCTCCAGAGTAGCTGGGACTCTAGGCATGTGCCACCACGCCCGGCTAATTTCTGTATTTTTTGTAGAGATGGGGTTTCACCCTGTTGCCCAGGCTGGTCACAAAATGAACCACTTTTGAGTGACAGTGGAGAGGACTAACTGAAGTTCCTTGGCATGGGGAAACAGCAGGAAACAGGGCGTGAGTGGAGCTGGGTTGTAAGCTGAAGACCCAGGTTAGGGAAGCTTGCTCTTACCTAGACCGAAGGTGCTGTGGTGTTGGGGGGATGGGGCCTGGGGTCCATCAGCTGCTGAAGAGAGGGGCTGGTGTCAGGCACCAAGAAATGCTTCTAGGAAAATGCATCCAGGCAGAGGAAGGGAGCCCAGGGACAGAATCAGAAGAGCAGGGGCTGGTTTGAGGGAAAATGGAAGACTCAGATTTAAGAGTTAAGCCAAGGTAAGCTGGATTCAGTGGTTGATTAACCAGACATCCTCAAGTGTCTTCTAAAATGTGGTGTGTTTTTCTCAGAATTCACCCCAGCTAGCCCAGTAAAGTGGCTTTTTCTCTAAATGGCAGACACAGAGGGAAGGAGGAGGAAAGAGGGAGCGAGACCACTGTCCCAAGGTCATGAGCTGTAGAAGATAAACCCTCCCATCTCTTGGGTTGTGCCAGCAAAGTTGGCAGAAACTACAGCCAAGAGGTCTTGTGTCGGCACCATCCTGGGACCCTTTCTGGCCCTCTCGCGGTCTCATCGCCAGGTGCCTACTCCCCATGAGCCCAGGGACACCTCACACAGTGCCCGTAGGGTTACAGGTGCTCCTTCTCTTCCCTGCCCATCACCCACCAGGCGCTGCACGAACACTGGCTGAGCCTCCGCCATGTGCAAGACCCAGAGTTGACTCTGTTTCCCTGGCCCATTTTCTTTGCTTTCTTTTCTTTTTTTCTTTTTCTTTTTTTTTTGAGATGGCGTCTCGCTCTGTCACCCAGGCTGGAGTGCAGTGGTGTGATCTCGGCTCACGGCAACCTCCACCTCCTAGGTTCAAGCGATTCTCCTGCTTCAGCCTCCTGAGTAGCTGGAATTACAGGTACCCGCCACCATGCCTGGCTAATTTTTTTGTATTTTTAGTAGAGACGGGGTTTCACCATGTTGGCCAGGCTGGTCTCGAACTCCTGACCTCAGGTGATCTGCCCACCTCGGCCTCCCAAAGCGCTGGGATTACAGACCTGAGCCACCGCGCCTGGCCCATTTTCTTTGCTTTCTCAATCCTCCTTCTGTGCCATCTCCACTCTCCTCTTTGTGTCCTCTTTGTGCAGCTCTTTTCTCACCAGTGAGCTCCTCTTTCTGTACCTCTCCCTCGGCTCTCCCCGCAAGCAGTCACGAATGTCACCAGCCCGAGGTGCATCATGAAAACCTAATCACCATCCCGGGTGGCCCATCTGTGAGGGGCACAAGGTCCTGGCCAGGGTTGGGAGTAACAGAGAGAAAATGATGATTATTATGAAGTCGTGATAGCAAGGCTGTCTTTGCAACCAGGCCTGCTTTTGAATTGGGTGGGACACCAGCTGCCTTGGAGGGGGAAGCCTTCATCGGTGCTGGTCTTGTGTTCAGCTGGAGGAAGTCACAGACCTGGGCAGACCTGTTCTGCCATAAGCTGTAAACTCACAATGTCTAAACTCAGCTGTGCCGTTTCTGCCTCCTGATCAGCTCTGTTTTACCCCATGATGCCACACCAGGCTTCCTCTGGGTGTCCAGGTGCCCCCTGCTCCAAGCCCCAACTTACAGCATCCACCCCCTATTCTGTACCTGGCCTCACTTCCTACTTCAGTAAGCAGATCCAGGGATTCTGATAAACACCTTCCATTTGTCCCCCTTCCTTTTCAGCACAAATCTCTCTGCTCCCTTCCCTATCCCCACCCTGCAGCAAGGGGTGGCAGAAAGAGCACGAACCAGATAAAACAGCCTCAGGTATCCCCAGGCTTTGATAAAATGTGAGTGCATTGGTTATTGGTTTGGTCTGCTCAGCTCTCCCCACCCCTTCTTGTGGTAACAGACCCACCCATTCCCCACGGAGGGGATATTTTGAGTTAACTGGCCAATCACATTACATGACCACAGTGATTGGCCCAGGGATGTGCCTGCAATTGGAGATGGATCAATTGGACTTCTTTTTTGGAATTTTTCCATGTAGAATTGGTGGGGAAGAGTTCTGTCCTCTCTGGTTTTGAGGCCGTATGAATGATAAACAGGCCAGGTGCAGTGGCTCATGCCTGTAATCCCAGTACTTTGGGAGGTCAAGGTGGGAGGATCATTTGAGGCCAGGAGCTCAAGACCAACCTGGGCAATGTAGCAAGATCTCATCTCCATAAAAATTAAAAAATTAGCTGGGCATGGTGGTACCTACCTGTAGTCCCAGCTACTTGGGAGGCTAAGACAGAAGGATCGCTTGAACTCAGGGGTTTGAGACTGCAGTGAGCTAGGCTTGTACCACTGCACTTCCAGTCTGGGCGGCAGAGAGAGACCCTGCCTCTAAAACAAAATCAGAAACAAAAGAATGGAAACCAGAGACTGCTTGCACTCATGTTCCCTGATGCCCAGAAAAAGTCTACCTGCAGGACAAGAGAAAGAGACCAGCCCCCAGAAGGATAAAGAAGGACATGGTGATGTCTGCGTTCCTGGGTCCAGCTGCCCTGAGACAAGCGCTACCCTTGCCCGCTCTGGTTCTGGTTGCTTTCTGACATTGACCATAGGAAGTACTCTGCTTAATGCGTGTGAAACTCATTGTCCCCCATCATGAGTTGGCTGTGAGATTACGGAAGGTCATCTAAATGAAGTCCTTAGTGAGCTCACTCCATTGTAGCTTCTAATACTGCTGCTGGTCCCTGCCCAGCACATCCCCAGCACACAGTCCAGCCATGCCTTCAGTGCCTCACCTCAGTCAGTGCCTCATCATTCACCTGCACCACCTGGCTGGAAATCCTAAAGCTATGTGCCTTTACTTTATTTAGTATTTTATTTTTTATTTTTTGAGACACGGTCTCATTCTGTCGCCCAGCTGATATACAGTGGTGTGATTACAGCTCACTGCAGCCTCGAACTCCTAGGGCTCAAGTGATCCCTCCACCTCAGTTTCCCAAAGTATCTGGGACCACAGGTGCATGCCACCACATCCAGCTCATTTTTGTACTTTTTGTAGACACGAAGTCTTACCACGTTGTCTAGGCTGGTCTCGAACTCCTGGACTCAAGGGATCCTTCAGCCTCGTCCTCCCAAAGGATTGGGATTACTGGTGTGAGCCACCACACCCAGCCTTTATTTGTAACACTGCCCATGCCAGGCCCGGTCCATGTGTCCCACACAACACCTCTCGGATCATTCATTTCTCTTCATTCTACCTGTCCCACTCCTAGTGAAAGCCTTTCATTCATGTGTTCGACAAACCTTACAGAGTCCCAGTGATAGGCCAGGAAATGTGCTGACACTGCGGACAGGTCAGTGAGCAAAGCAGATACTGTCCCCTGACACTGTTCCTCTGTCCCCGCCCTTGCTGAGCACCTGTCACACTAAATGTCATCACACACCACTTTTATGTTACTCTTCTTCTTAATAACATTCCCTGGCTCCCTACTTCCTACCTCTTCAAATCTTAGTGTCTCTGTTTGGCCTCCAAAAGTCCTCCACAATCTGCCTCCAGATAATAAGAATAATGATAGCATTAATAGTGGTAGCAGAAGCAGCTATCATTTGTGACATTCTTATTAAGAGGCAGAAAATGTGCTGAATGCTTTATAGGCATTTACTCATTTAAAGCCTCACAATCAGGGGTGAAATCCAACATATTCAGCACAGGCACCAACCGATCAGAGTGGATGCTGCCTGCCATGCCGTGCCATGCCAGGCATACCAGCTGAATCTGGTTCTGTTCACAGTCATCCTGAAAAGTGGGTTTTATAATCCCTGGCTTAAAATGTGTGAGCTGGCCGGGCGCGGTGGCTCACGCCTGTAATCCCAGCACTTTGGGAGACTGAGGCGGGTGAATCACCTCAGAGTTCAAGATCAGATTAGCCAACATGACGAAACCCCATCTCTGCTAAAAATACAAAAATTAGCCGGTGTGTAGCGGGTGCCTGTAATCCCAGCTACTATGAGACTGAGGCAGGAGAATCGCTTGAACCTGGGTGGCAGAGATTGCAGTGAGCTGAGATTGCGCCACTGCACTCCAGCCCGGGCGACAGAGTAAGACTCCGACTCAAAAAAAAAAAAAAAAAAAAAAAGATAAATAAAATGTGTGAGCTGACACTCAGAAGGGTGAAGGGTCTCACCCAGAGTCACACAGTTGATAAACACCAGCCTTCCAACCCAGGACCTTCTGACTCCAAAGCCTCCATTTCACTCTCTAAGTCCCCCTCACACAACCCTTTCTCCGGTGACACCAGGTCTTTCCTTGCAATGCACGTGGGCCACAGTCCTGTTAATCTCCTCCATTCATTCCTTCCACAACCATTGGATGAGGCTTCCACCTTCAGTCATCACCTGTGCAAGATGAGGGGACTGCCATGGGGGCAGGGACTATGTCATCCTGTTCACTGTGATATCCCCAGCACCTGGCACCTTACCTGGCACAGAGCTGATCTTCAGCAAATACCTGTTGAATGATCAGTATGAGGGTGACAAAGGCATGGACTTCACTGGAAGTAGCTCCCAGGTGTCACTTACGAGTGAAAGTGTGCCTCCTTTATTGTGGGTTTTAAAACAAGAAAGGACCAGAGCATTCTGGCATGCGGGCCCCCTGGCTCTGGAGGCACGATGAGGCTGTCTGACCTCTTGCTGGTCCGAGCAGAACACCAGTCCCAGAGCTGGAAAGCATGGATGGAAGGCAGCCACGCTGGCCCCACAGGCCAGGAACTGCCATGGCCCAACATGCTGAGTCCCCATCACCACCACCTGCCCTGCCATCCCTCTTCCTTCTGCTCTTCTCTAAACGTACTCATCTCATTCATTCATCCAGTCGGTCGCTCAACAGTTATCGAGTGCCTGTTCTGGGCCAGCCAGGCAGGTGCTAGGTCACAGCACGAGAAAGTCAATGGTACAAAGATTCAAGACACAGCCCTTGCCCTCTGTAGCACAAAGTCCCAAGAGAGAGGCAGATACGTAAGTGGACAGTGATAAGCATGGCAGGAGGGGTCAGTGCGGGTGCAGGGGGATTGTAGGAGGGCCCTTTCTGTGCCATTTGGAAAGGATATGGAGGTTTTCCTAAGAATCAAGGGCTGATTCCACATTCAAGACTCTGTAATGTTGCAAGTTGCAACGGTGTTTGCAGTGGTGGTTAATGTTTGTTGTTTGTGGTGGTGGTTAATGTTTAATATTCATCTCAGCCACCAAAACAGGTCTGAATTTCAACACGGTACTCAGAGATCCTTCACTCCCCACAGAGCAACAGCTTTTGGAATCAGGGGAACTCTGGGTTCCAGTCCCAGCTCTGTGATTTTGAGCACTGAAACTTTTCCGAACCTGTTTCCTTCTCTGCCTTTCAGGGTTGCAGGGCTTAAACGGATAGCATTAATCACCTTCCTTTCACAGGCTGTTAGCACTCAATCAAACCTGCTTCTCCCGCTCAAAGATGTTTAAGACCCAGGCAAGTCACAGAACCTCAACAGAAAAGGAATAACATCAAGGGGCACCTCCACATCATGTCCCCCACTGCCCTGAAGGAGAACGCCTCTAAGCTTAGCAAAAACAAGTTTGAATTTTTGTTCACATGAACTTTTCTACAAAAGCAATAAATCAAAGAAAAAAGTTTAGGAACAGATTAGAGCAGACTCAGATGGGCTCAGTTTCCCTTCCCCGCCCCCGCCCCGCAGGGCGCTGCTCGCTGCTGGACTCAGAAATCCAGCTGGCTTTTCACCTCCAAGATTCTCCAAGGACCACACCCGACAAACACGTCACCACCCTGGCCAGCACAGAGCACAGTGGGTGGAAGGAAGAGAGCAGGGCTTTGGGGAACCTCCCGCCCAGGATTTCACTACCAGCGCCCCACGTGACCTTGGGCAAGTCATGTCACCTCTCGGGACCTCGGTAGTTTCATCTAAAGACGAGCATTAACACCTAGGTCCAAGGTGCCAGACA